AAAAATTATTATATTTAATTTAATAAAATTATTATTAGATACTTTTTATAATTACAACAATTATAGTAATTGTTTTCTGAAACGAAATCTGTATAACATTAAATTTTACCTTTTATTGTTTATATTAATATTTTAAACATGCGGAACATGATGCTTGTATTTTTCTGTTGAATTGCTTACATTTGAGCTAGAAAATCTGCGTTAATTCTGCATGGTACAATTCTAATAATTTTAAAAAACGCAAGCAATTTAGCAGGAAAACAAGCATCGTGTACCGATCATTAATTATATTTTTACAGTTTAATATTTATACCATACTTATATAATTTAATATTTTCTTATTTTTGTGTCTTTTTTTTTATTTTGCAATACATTACAATTATTAATGTATTTCTTTTAGTTTTTTACATTTAATTAATTTGCTGTACATACAAATGAACTAGAGCAGCTAGAAAGAAAGAGAGAGAAAAAGGAAACTAAAGAGCAAATGAGATAGAAGTTTAGATGGCGTTACTGGGGAACTTACTGATTTCGCGCATGCGCACTCCATTTTTGCCAACACTAACATCAAAGGTGCCGACAGAGAGTTGCGCTACTGTATATACTGTGCCAGAGAGCACTTGGCAGTGTTGCCAGATGGCCACAGCCAAAACCTCCACAAGCAACGCCAATTCCCTCTAGATGAACATAAAACCCCCCAAAAACTTCAAGCGAGTTTTTATGTCCAATGAATACTGTCGGCACTAAAAAAAAAAAAGGAAGGGAAAAGAATTAATTTTAAATTGAATGTAATGTATTACAACATTTATTACAACGTTAATATATTATATCTTATATCTTATACCGTAAGCGTTATTCATCAGCGCGTGAGTGTTTAAATCACAGGTAAAGAAAAGTGTACAAGAAACATTTACTTGACTATGGCCGGCTAGTCGATTCTTATTTCGAGACCGTCTTGACTCTTAAGCCCACGGAGAGAGAAAGAATCAACCAATCACATTTAAACAATTTAGTCACATGATCAATGCGATTGGTCAATTCTTTCTTCATCCGAGATATCGGACCAATTTCTAGCATCGTGGACACAAGGCTTTATCCCGGATCTACAATAGGGTTTTAAACTTTAAGTCATAAGAAATGGACGAATCATAGTCGATTATTCTCCTCGAATTCTATTGTTTGGTATTGAATTGGTCAATTTCTTATATCATTTTCGATTGGGGTGCACTTGCTGCACTCAGTGTCAAGAGCGTGTTCGATTGGCAGTGTCAATGCGCACTTGGCTAGTGTCACGTGTTCATTTGACCGCACGACACTCGCTAGTACGCACTCAGTGCACACTAAATGGCACGAGATATTTTGACGGTGCCAGTTCAGTGCACTGGATATATATATATATAGGATATCAGTGCATTATTTGTCACAGTATAAAAGGATATACAGTAGGGACAAGCAAATCTGTAATTTATAGCATGCAAATGTGTACAATTATTGATAAGTATTGTTGTGTACATAAAAAATAAAGGTAATTATTCAGAATACCTCCCTCACCTCCGATTTCGATGAAATTAGGCTTATTCGATGCGTTTTTGCACAAAACGAAAGAATCTGGCAGAAAAAAGTGTCGCTCTGCCTCGCGAACCGAGATATTTAGCGTTAAAGTTGACGACTCTGCAGGTTAGGAAATCTGTCATACCGACTATGTGCACGAAATTTGAAATTAATGCTATAAAATAAATTAAACGTATGTAGTAGTGCTTAGACATTGTCCGCTTGGAATATTTGTAACCCATGTAGACAGTGGGGTGTATTGACAGTAATGCTTGGGTTCGGGCGACGTAGCCGCCCGAATGGAAAAAAAAAAAAAACCTACCCGCTTGGGACCTAACCGTCTAGAAGTTACAGCTGAGACAGTGTCTGCTTGGAATATTTCTAACCCATGAAGACAGTGGGGTATGAGAACGGTTTTTTTACTTTTTTTTTTTTTTTTTCGTTCGGGCGGCGTAGCCGCCCAAACCCAAGCATTAAGGCCCTGGCACACAAAAAACTTAAGGCAGTAAAACGTAAGCAGTAAGGAAATCAACATGTTGGATTCGCTACTGCTTATGTTATGGCCTTACGGACTCTACTGTGATTGGTCAATTCGCTTACTGCTTACTTTTTTTATTTTCCGTTCGGGCGGCGTAGCCGCCCGAACCCAAGCATTACTGTCTATACACCCCACTGTCCACATGGGTTAGGATTTATTTGTTTTATAGCACACATTTTAAATTTGGTGCCTGTTGGACCGACAAGTAACGAGACGCATGCGCATGAAGTCAGAGAGCATGAAGAAAGCATACTGGTAGCACTACACATAGTCGGTATGACAGATTTCCTAACCTGCAGAGTCGTCAACTTTAACGCTAAATATCTCGGTTCGCGAGGCAGAGCGACACTTTTTTCTGCCAGATTCTTTCGTTTTGTGCAAAAACGCGTCGAATAAGCCTAATTTCATCGAAATCAGAGGTGAGGGAGGTATTCTGAATAATTACCATTTTTTTTTCTTAAATATTTAGGTGCAAGCGCATTGCATTCAAAGTATCTGTTTGAATAGTTTTTTAGGCTGTAAATCTTATCTATACGTAAATAAATATTATATTTATATGCTGTAGAATCTGGTTTGAAAAATTGAGTCTCTCTGGAAGGACAAGATGTTCGAAAAATATACCCTGCTTTGTCAAGACTTCCTCAGTATAGCTGAGCCTTTCATTGACAGTGACATTTTGAATCAGCTGAAGTGTAATTATGTACATGAAATTGATTCAAAACGTAAATTGAGCCAGATAAAGGACCTCAAAATGTTTATGAGATTACTGGAAAAACGAGATATTATGAGTTACAGTAATGTAGAGCCATTATGGTATATATCAAAAAAGTATATTCACAAGCCTGACTTGGAAAGCAAATTGCAAGATTATGAAAGTTGGTTGAAGGCTGTGTCACCATTATCTTTATGTAATATATATCAAAGTGAAGGTAACTGTTTTTTTAATTATTTTTTTGGTATTTTAGAATTTTCATAAGAATATTCGTAAGATAACAAAACAGTTTTGATAGGAGTCTTGTTAATAAATATATAACATTATGCAAAGTTAATTTGAGAATTCTTAAATAATATAGTTACGAATAATATAACAAATAAGAATAAGATTAGTATAAGAATTAAAAACTTCAAAAATATGCATATTTTTAGTATACTGATATTCTTTATAGCAACATGACTTTCCTTTATCATAGATACATTAAAATAACTGGATAATATGTTGAAATAGTTATAAAATAATTTAATAAGCTAATAAATTATATCTCTCTACAACACAGTTTTGGTACCATCACTAGCATCAGAGTCTATTTGCTCAGAATGTGCATGCAATTCTATGTTATCTCAGTTGTTAATAGAAAACTCAACTAAACCGTTCATTAATAGTTCACAAACATTATATTGTAATTCTAAGCAAAAGGAACAATATAATCTTTATAAAAGAAGAAAATTACAAGAAGCAGGTATTTTTAAAATCTTAAGTTTATAACTTTTTTTATTGGTAATGTGTTTATATGGCCCAATATACACCAAACGACTGGAAAAGAAATATGATAAACTTTTTATTACACTCTGTATACATGTATATACATATGCTTACGTGCGCGCATACGTAAACACACACACACACACACACACACACAAGACTATAATTTTTATATATATATATACACACACACACACACACACACATACATGCGTATCTATATACATATGTATGTTTTTTAAAGTGATGCTACAAGTCAAAGACAGACTGGGTCGATCTTGGCGAGATGTAGCCAGACATTTAGGTATTACAGAATGTGAAATTGATGCTGTACAAAGTAAATATCCTTATGATTCGAAGGAGCAAAGCTATGAGGTAACACATTTATAGTAAAGACTTAAATATATACGTATATGTGTATACTACATATATAAATGTTCAGCTAGACGTCTAAAATATGTACTCGGATTGAACTCGATACTAAAATAATTTTTGTTTATAGATTTTAAAAATTTATATATTGCAATCCGACACTGAGCAATGGGCCATAAGTTTAATACGTGCCTTAGAAAAGGGAAGACGGAGAGATATTAAAGAACTTGTGGAGGAATTAATATTAAAAAGTAGGAATGTATGATATCAATACAAGATCTTTCTACGCATGTTATATTGGAGCTAATATATATTTCTTTTTCTGAATCGACGCCTTAACTTATACTGTTTTCCAATCAAATGTGACATAATTTAACAATGAAAAGATTTGATGGTATACACAATAGATAATTTAATGTAAAAAAAAGTTATATAAGTGATGTAAATAAAGGTATGAAAGCACATGCCACTAGACTTTTTTGACATTTATAAAAAGATCTTGAGTATAATTGTAACTATTGTACGTAAGTATTAAAAGAGATTACAAGGATTTATTTGTTGAAAAATAAGGTTGCACAAATTACATTTAAGAATATAAATTTATTCAAATCATATAGTCGATTAGTCACAAAAATACGGCAGCCCACATGCGTATCTCGTCAATTACAGGTAAGCTATACATATTCTATATTTCTTAAACTGAATTTTTATATTAATAATATATCCATCTATTTCATTTTAATGTGATT